CAGAAGCTATAGCTGAAAGTTAGATGAATCTATGCTCCCAAAAAGGGAAATCGGACCTGAAGAAAGCACATCAGAGGTGCCTGTCCTCAAATTGCTGGTCACCACCAGTGCTCATTCAGTGCACGGTGCTCCTTCTCCTTTCCATTATGGACTTTGAAAGGACAGAGGAGTTTTGGCCCAAATGCTAAGAAAAGCTCTTAGCTGAGGACATCCCAGTAGCTTATCCAGCATAGTTATAGCTCATAACAATTACTGATCCAGGCAGACTCTGGCACAGTAAGATATACATTCAGTCAATGCACGCAAGGGCTGTATTATATTATCTTGGCATTTCCCCAGACCTGACTCTCCAGAGAAAAAACTCAGTTCCATTGTGATATCAGTTGAACCTTGAGTGTGATGACAGATCCAAAAACTATTCAACGCTTATTTTTTTTCTGAAAACCTGACCACCATTAATTAAGATTCAATACAACTCTAAACAAACAAACAAACAAATAAATAAGGTTGAGTTCTAATTGTTTTCCTGGAATACACAACTCTGGAATATTTTCTGCTGGACCTCCAGTCCTATTAGTCAAAAAACCATGGGAGAATTTTAGTTTATCAAGGAAGCCCCAGTTTCCCATCATCCTATCAATCAAAAGAGCAGCAATGCGTGTGAGTGATTGTATCTGGTCCTATGTTAAGAGCATAAGCACAAAACGTCTGGCTAAGGTTAGCGGTTTTCACTGTTGATTTGTTTTGTCAATGGAGAACAAAATGGGTGGCACGTATGTTAATTAGCACAGCACTGCTCTATAAGAAACACGGAAAATTATATTACAGCAGGTATAAGAAAGAAGCGTTAAAGGCTGAATGTGCAGTTGGTTGCAAGGTACAACTGCACTGCATTAACATTTACATCCATGGCTCTGGACCTTACTATCTTGCCTTTGTCAGCTCACACTCCTCTTCTGGACTAGCCATTAAAAGAGTTTCCAAGACCACGTAGTACTATTCAAGCTACCAAAATAAATGCAGTTGAAAAGAAAAATCAAGGTCTGTAGGCAAAGCAGGCCTCCCCGAGACATATAGCTACACAGCAACAAACAGCACTGAGAGATTCACCACACAAACTGTTTGAAAAAAATACCAGGAAACTGCAACGTGACTATCAGATCAGAGGTGGAAAGGATCCACCAGAGCTGCCGGTGCTCCAGTAGCACCACATTGCAACGTCAGCATTGGTCATGAGCCAAAGGCCTTCAGGCTTGCTTGTAGCCTGGAGGATATAAATGAAAGTCAGCAGGTGCAAAGGTGCAAGAAGTGCAGAATTGCATCATGTCTTTTCAAACTGTGTTTATGCAGTAAATGAGACTCATTTCTTTCCACACTAAATCGAGACTGCTTTTATTTTTTTTGGCTTATGAATGCTCTTAGTTCAATTTTCGTGTGTGTTCTCCATGGTTCCTCAGGATGCTTGAGGTGATTTATAAATGTGTGTAGAGACCAGGTGTATTGCCAGATGTTTATATCCCTTTACAACAGGGCTTCACAATCCCTTCCAATGGAACGCCCGTTCTATATTATTTCTTTCTAATAGAGCATCATCTGGACTGCAGGGTATTTAAGAGTTTTCCCAGTGTAGGATTTTTTCTTAACTCCCTTTTCTATCATCTTATTTCCATATTTAAAATAACACTAAGCCTTTAAACCTCTCTAAGTACTCTTTAAAATTAGAGCTCCTTTTATATAAAAAAAAAAATAAAATCAGAGAGAAATGTCAGCGGTTCCAGGTTTAAATGAATGAAGACTGACTCACTGCCAAAAAGATTTTTTATCTTGAAGCTTTACCTACATTCACTTTTATTACGTTTCACTTCAACGCATATTTAGAAATAGTAAAAACTGTTTCATTACATAGTTCCATAAGTTGCAATTTCAGATCACTCTCTTAAATATAACTGTGGTAAGAAAAAGCCCGTAGTCCAGAAGGTGGACTGGTCTGAAGAGGCAAAAAGCCCCCGGCTGTATTATCAAGTGACAGAAAGGAAAAGAGAATGCAATCGGATTTAATTAGTAGTCAGCATTGTAAGTACCAGGTATGGGGCGGTAAGATTTTTCTTGGCATGCCTTAAATCATAGAATGGTAAGTTCATGTATATGAGGAGGTAAGAACAAGCGAACTAGAAGTATGAACAGTCACATCCCATGAAATTTTGTTTTAAAATTATTTTTCAATTTTGGGTGCTGTAAAAGTCTGTAAGACCTGAGAAAGTCCATTTGCTAAATGTCAACGTTAGCCAAAAAATCCTTTCACATGAATTTTTTTACATTCATCACACTCATTCTTCCCAGAGTTTTCTATCGTGAGAATGACTAAACTGCTTCCCTCAAAAGGCTGTGCTTAGATAAGTAAGTGTAGATGAGATAAGGTCTTAGCAGCAGACCCCGAACAGTTGGTGGTACCGCTCACACGAGGAAGGATGAGGCGGGATGCAGTTTACAGATCTAGGACAGCACAGTGAATGCAATCATGTCAGGCACATTCACTGGCAGTTCAAATATATATAACTGCATATGTTATTGGTATGTTTTACATTTAAAAAACTTCAGAACTATTTTCAACGGTATTTCTTGATACAATACTTACAAGAATTTGTTTTTGCAATTTAAAGAGAAAGAAGCTTTGTGGTCATAGGAAAGATGCGTAAGGAATGGCAGGCAGCGGGGAACGGAGCACTGATCTGTCCCAGATGATGTGATTATTAGCACCGGGAGACCATCGGGGAAACATGAGGAGTCAGCATCTTACTGCTGTGTCTCGAACACAAGGACAAAACATCACTGAGCTCAAAGTATGATTTAATATGGAACATGTTATCAAAAGAAAAAAACAGCACAGAGCTCTCTATCTTATACATGGAATTGCACCACCACCCAAGATGAACTGAAACACCCTGAGATTAATAACTTTAAACACCCACACTAGAGGTCTGCACTAGAGGTTAGTTTCCCAAAATACACAGAGAGAAGCATCTTCTTTTGTACTGGTAGGTTTGTTGGTTTTTTTATAGGTAATACTTGAAGCATATGGACATGTGGATGCTGGCTGCTGTGTGATATACATAGTAGTGCTGTCAAATGAATTAGGCACAGCTAGAATTCAGTGTGCTTCTTTACAGTAGTTTCATATTGCTGAAGGAGACTACGTACATGCCTTCCGTTTTTGTATCCACTCAATCAATTTTGGACATTAATATATAACCCTCTTTTCTTTTAGCTCTGTCTCTGCTGGTGATTTCTTCAAAAACACCATCTCCTCAGATGGATCTTTTCCTGAGGAAGGCCTTTGCTGTTGGAATCTTGCCTCCACTGCCCTCTCCTACCCCAGCTGCTGCCCTCCAGCCCTCACACAGCACGGTGAGCTCCGAGGAACTACTATCTAACTGGACTTAGGGTGCATGCCAACCCCCAGCACGGCCTCAATGAAGGCAACGCTGCCTTGAAGGGAGGCACTGAGGTTACACGCAGACACAGAGCAGTCGAGTTGCCAGCGACCTTTTAATGAGGTGAGCGAGTTTCCAGGGTAATCCTATGCTGGAAGCGAGCGAGTGCACAACCACCACACTCTACAAAATGAATAGCTTTTGGATGAGTCCAGGAGCCACCTCTCAAGAGCCCTGCTCAGCGGCCCATGCCAGGCTGGCGTCGACGGTGCGAAGGCAGGCAAAAGGGGCAGCCCTCGGGGACGCAGAGGGCACGCGGCCAGCTGCCGCCTTCACCCCCGGAGCCGCCATTTTGAAGCGCACGCCTCCAGCCCAGCACAGGTGTCCCGGCCAGAGGCACGGAGCGGGACAAGCCCTAGGCGAACTGCCTCACGGCTGGCATCGCGGGACAGGCTCGGCTCGGCTCGGCTCGGCTCGGCTCGGCTCGTCCCAGTTCGCCCTGGGCACGAGGCGCCCACCCGCACCGCCCCTTTCCCTCTCGCCCGACAACCGGCACGAGGCCGCGACCCGCGCACGCCCTGCCGCGCGCGCCGCGCCCCCTCGGCGGCCCCGCCCCCTCGGCGCCGGCCTCACGCGCGGCCCCGCCCCCCTCGCCCGGCCCGGCGGGGCCCCGCCCCCTTCCGCCTCGGCTCCCCGCCGGGTCACGCCCCCTCGCCTCGCCGCGCGCTTCGATTGGCGGAGCCCACGGCCTTCCCGGGCCGCCCTCCTCCACTCAGCGCCCGGCGCCGCCCGTCACTCAGCGGCGGGGCGCCGCGCCGGTTGGCGGCGGCGGCGGCGCGGGCGGGCCGCGCTGTCAGTCAGGGAGCGGAGTCCGAAGTGGGGAGCGGGGCGGGAGGAGGGGAACATCTGTCTGCCGCAGCCGGGCCCGGCTGTGCCGCCGCCGCCGCGCGCCCGAACTGCGTGCGCCCGGCCCCCGCCCGCCCCGCCC